GCCATACAGTAGAAGCTGGGTTCTTTCCAATCCCAGCGCACAGCTCTCTCCTAACAAACTGACTCAGCCTGAGCTGAAGTCGTCATTGTTTCATGAGGCCGAAACACCAAAGCTCAGAAAACTTGCTCATAATTACAGGTTGGGAAAACAGACAAGGCCCAGTCAAAGCTGTATTTAGTGTAAAACATCAGTCTGGGTAGGAATCGGTTCAGTGAAAGATGGCTTCTTACCCTCTGAAGGTAAACACTTGGGCACTCTTTATTTTACTGCTCGTTGGAGCGGGCAGCCAGTTGATGGTCAGCTAGAGTGCAGTGGACAACTTCAGTATGATTTGACCATGATGTTCCCGTGCTGAGAAGCTGCTGTTTGCTGACATTGTGCATCCTACGTCATCCAAGAGTGTTCCCCAGTTTGGCCCTTCTCTCGCAGGGCAGCGGCCAAGCTACGGTACGTACAGCGCTGCGGCCAGGGCTGGGCCCAGACCTGGTCATTGGTATGTTGGTTCATTCCAAGTGTCTGTAGCCATGAAATAAACACTAACTGTCCTTTGATTGGCATTTTATACCCTGTTTTGCTATGGTCTTTAACAAAATCTCTTCCAAGAGCTTTTTGAAATAGAGCTTGTGCTAATTAAACTGATTTCACATGTTAGGGCCACACTTACCTACTTCAGGCTTTCTGATTTTTAGTAACAGGGCAGAAACTTTTCAGGCTTTTAGTCTATTTGTTAGAGTTGGCAGAATAGAACTGCCCTTTAGGAGCACCAAAATAATTGGCAAAATTAGCAGTAATTATTTTTTCTTTCTTGCTGGGAACTTTGTATTCCCAGTAGCTTCCAGTTCTGGAAGAGAAGAGCTGAAAGTGTGGCCCTGATGCCATTCTGAATAAATGTTTTAAATTATCAAAGGGCTGTGAACGCCCTGGTTTCCAGGACAGCCCACCTTCCAATTGCCCTTCAGCTGTTTTTTTCTTTGGTCTTTTTACTCGACATGGAACTTCCCTCATGGTCTCTGAGTTTCAGTTCATTCTGTTCTTGAAAAAACAGTCCACCCGAGCTTTTGACCTTACTTCTCCCTGTGTTCTTTTATCGTAAGTGGTCCTTCCAGCAGGCTGCAACATTTTCAGCTCCATCTGGGTTTTTTTATAGAAGACTTTATACATGCTTTGCGCAATCCTTGTTTTCTTTTGGTTTTACTTCATCATAAGAAGAGGTCTGTCCTCTCTATTATTCTGTGATGTCTGTGGACGCTTCTGCCCCCCCCCCAGCAATTTTAAGTGTTTTCAATGCATGTATAGAATGCCTATGCCATAAAAGCTGGCAAGTAGACACCTCGGGAAGAAGGCAGCAAAACCTGTATTGTACATATACTTACCATATACAGAGGTTTCTTTGGAAATCCTCGCTTTTGCCCAGATTTTTTTTTTTTTTCCTAAATTCTGTCAGTTACAATTAAGACTTCTTTTTAAGGCAGCTCTTTTGCTTTCTTTAACTAGGCAGAATAGAGGGAAGGTGCTCTCCAAAGTAACCTTTGAGTAGAAGGAAGATAGGACACTCAGAAATAGGAAGTCTTTAGGCCTAGGACACGTGCCTTATAAATTTGGGGAGAAGGACATGCTTTTTCTTCTCTTGGGAAACTGAAAACTGCGTGCCAAAGATGTAGATAGTTCAGGTTGTTTCACTCCTGGAACTTAAGCAGTATTTAATTGGTGTTCAAGAGGAAACTCTTCAAAAGCACGAACTGAGAATATTGTAAAGGCAGCAGGGGTTATTTGCATTAAGACAAGGGAATGGCTCACATATTACTCATGTGTTGCCCTGCCTTGTTCAAAGGGAAGTGTTTTTAAAGCAGAAAATTCTTCCTGTCCTCACAACTGCTTAAACCACTGAGGACTATTAGTATCTCAGAATTAATTTCTGCTTCTGTCCTCCATGGACTCAGTTCTAATCTAAACACCTACTGGGAAAAAGAGGTGGCACATTACCTTAAGCAGCTCCTTTCACCTTGAACTTAACTGCTGGTTATCTTCCCAAGTTCCATTTACAGAGAAGCAGGCCCTGGCCTGTCAGTAGCTTAACTACTTATTCCTTATTTTGCATGCAGTAAGAGACTTGTTTGCCCAGTTGCTCAGAAGGAAATTGCAAACAAATCCAAGTTGAACATTTGATGACCTTGCACTATACTACAAATACCCAAATTTTAAGAACAAAGGAGTTCCAGCAAGTTTCTATTCCAGAGATCTGTATCTTCAAGCTTCTGCTGGTGGCAGCAAGAAGACAGCAATCCGACAGTTGTAGAGATTTTGTTTACATAATGCAAGCTGGAAAAGTGGTCACTTTTAATCTCAGTTACTTATTTAGCCCTTTGTTGCATACAATATTCCTTGTAGCATAAAAGGTTTTAACTAAAATACAGAGTTCTTTTACTCTCTTAAAGGATGTATTCTGATAAAAATACGCTGCTGAAAATTTTAAGCAGTGCCACTGAGTCATAAGTAAATTTTTGTTGCTAATGTCTGCGTTAATGCTTTCTTGTAATGGCAGGGTTCATTTTTACCTGGCTTTAGCTTGGATGAATGTATGCAGTTACTGGGGCTTGCCTTACTGGTAATGAAGGGAAACAGGCACCTTAAAGGGACAGATAAATCATACCTAAAAATAGTAAAGTTCTTGTTCAGGCCTATACAAGAACAGTGTTACAAAGGTATGAGTGTAGCATAAACAGCAGCAGCTGTTACTATGCCCGATACTTGGAAACTTGAACAGTGTAGACATTTTTCCAGCAAATTTTTGAGTGGGTGGCACTGTGTAACCCTGAAAACAGTTTCTGATTCTTCACTGCTATACAAACCCACGCTGCTGAGAAGCCAGGTTTCATCTGCAGTGGTTTCTGTTGATATAGGCCCTATGTGCAGTAGGTTGTGGCCTGAAGGCTACCACCGCCAACTCGATTCATGCACGCGCAAGTTCAGAAAATACCAGAACAGAATTACAGCAGACCGATCTTGAAAAAAGCAGTATTTATTTTAATGTACAACCCAAAGTTGTATCCGTAAGAAATGCACAAGGTATCTTGTTTGTTCCACAAGTCTTGGCTGTGTGCATTTCAGTTCAACTTAAAAATGCATTCAGGTTTACAAATGTACAAACAGCACAGAAAGTGTATTACAGTCTCAACAGAATGCTCTTACATTCAGCCATTTTGCTCTTAAGGTTTTGTGTTGGATTTGTTGGTTTTTTTGTGATTTTTTTTTTATTTATTTTTTACATTCTTAGAACCTGTGTTAACAAAGACAGCCTTATTTTAAAAAAATACTCTGCATTTTAGCACAAAGTGCCTTTTGATTTTAAATTAGAACTTGGAGGATAACACTGGAAAAAATTTAAAAATCCAACCCGGTACTTTTCATAAAAGTATTGCATGCCAGGACCATTTTAGAGTTCAAATTGTTTCCTAAATAAAGACGGCAGATGGTAAAATATGAAACCAGTGAAACTGTTCAGATTTACAGGCTTCAGCTGTAGTTGGGATTTGTGACCACACCCAGACTTTTTCAAGCTTATCCGCAATCTCACACTACCATATTGCAGGACAGACTTTAAAAAGGAGCAAGTGATGAAAGCATGACTGGTGGGGGCGAGGGGGAGGGGGAAGCAATGACCAACAACAGCCTGAAAATGACGTTTCAAAAATTTTGCATTCAGAGTTGTATCATGACCTGGATAAGAGTTCTTTCCTTTTGCTTAACTTCAGTTTTCGTGAGGATAGTGTGAATTAGACCAAGGATCTGAACTTCTTCTTCCGATTGTGGGGCTCCAAATTCTCCAAGGATTGTAGGTCTGTCCCATTTAACGGTGGCAGCAGCAGGCGGAGGGGGAGCAGCGGAGGAGTTTTCACTACCCATGAGATCAATGCCTGACAACGCGTTTGTTGGAGTGGTGAAGGGAAGGCCACTGTTGAGATTACTTGACCAAATGGAACTGCTGAATGGAGTGGTGGACCACAGGCCACTTGGGTTGCCAAGGATCGACTGCAGTAAAGACATAGCCAGGTAAGTAGCAGTTTGGTAACTTCTACTTTCACCTTGTTCACAGCCCCCCTGAAAGATAAGTATCTAAGAAGCAGCAAGCCTGCTGTGGAACCCCTTCCGTCTTCACTGCAACATGGAGTTTTGAACTCCCTTCACTGGAGCCTGCCCAGAGGAACCACACTACTAACGGTCATCGAACGTGTCTGGTAACTGAATGGGCTGCAGAGTGCAATTACATTACAGGCTTTTCAGCTGTTTTCCTTTGAGCCTATACATCCCCGTACCATTACTAATTTTAGGCGCTACTATAGTATTCAAGCTTTAACACACAAGAGCCAAAAAGCTCAAGTTTAATTAAACTAGTTAGAATGAGGTAGATAACAATGGTTGAAGTCTCAAGAAAACAACAAAATTCAAGTTGTAATGGAAGGTAGCAGTAAAGTATATTCCTTGATCCTTTTTTGGCTGTTTGCAAATTTCTCTCCTTGTATTCAGACATATCGGTTATAAACTGTACATTTTGGATGAACCTACCTGTGTTCAGCCCCACTGTACCTCCCCATATGCCCAGTATATACTTTTTCCTCCATCCAAAATGTCTCCAGATGAAAGGAGAGGGGATTGGAGAACTGGCTGTTTTGTCATGGAGTTCCAGTAAGTCTGTCCTGGCTCAGGACATCTGGAATTCTCTGACAAATTGTCAAGTGCAGACGCAGGTGTGCTGCAACATGTGTCACAAATGCATCTGGGATGCATAGGACATGTACAGCAAGCCTAGAGAACACATGCAGAAATGAATAAGGCCCAGGTTTTGTCAACTGTTTCATTCAAGCCCAAACAGTAGCAAGCAACAAGCAGAGGAATCTAACCCGTGACTGAAAGTAATACCTGGAAGCAGCCAAAGATGGAGATGAGAAAGGCTGGCATAACTTTCATGCTGATATTAGCACAGGACCTGCTACATGTAGGCTTAACGCACTACATACCTCAGCACCAACAGATTTAATGTACATATGCTGTAAATTCAGCTTGCAAATATACAGTAAACTTGATACATCCAAAAGGCAGTGGACTTGTTGAGTAAGTGCTGTAAGGTACAAACATCCTTATGTTTGGATTTACTGGGTGGAGACAGGGCATCCCTTCCCAAGATCTCTGCCTTCAGATAATGCACACTAAAGCTAAACCCGTATCAGTGTACTCTGCATCTGAAGATTAAAATCAAAATCCCTCTAGAAAGGTAAATATGGTAGACTCTGAAAATGTCTTCATTTCAGGTTTTTATTTTCTCCCCTGGAACGAAGAAGATATGCTCAGTCTAATCATACCTGAAATTGGTTGGACGCTACCACATTACCAAAGGGTCCTCATAGAATTTGATACCAAGGGTTGGACAGGAGTTTTGAGCATACTCGGGGGTTAACCAGGCCAACATCATTAGGACTCTCCAATGTCACTGAGAAGTTGAGCCAAACTAGGGTCACAGTTTCTTACTGTTACATAACTAAATGGTTATATTTAAGCTATACAAGCATTAGACTTACTAAGCCTACAGCAGGAAACACTCACTCTGCTGCTCAGACACCAACCCTAACACACTAAAATCCACCCTACTTCCTGCTGTGGCCAAGAGCCAGGAACTATTCCTATTCCAAAAAGCATTTGGGAGAGCCTGATAGAGAGGCAACTGCTCATAAAGCAGAAGCAACCAGGAAAGGAGTGGCAGAGAAGAATATGTTAGACTGCACTGCTACTCCCTTTCAAGGCTGGTGGAGGGAGGTACAAAGTGGCTGGCAGACAGAACTACACGCAGGGAAATGGAGGAAAGAGGAGTAAGGGGCTGTAGTTGGAAAGAAACTTGGGAAGAAGTACCAGCAATGCAGCAAGGCCTGAGGGTAGACAGGACGCAGAAGTCAAATGCTATTTAGTACAGAAGCAGAGTTCTGCACAAAATGGGAAAGCAAGGGGAACAAGGAAGGAGGATGATCAAAATCAACTCCCCACAAACTTTCCTAGAAAAGAGGGTAACGCAGAGGCCACTATGTAAGCGGTGTTTGCAAGAACAGCTTTGGCTCTTGTGCCAGAAAGAAGAAAAGGACAGGGCCCTGGCCCGGTACCTGCTCTCTTACCTAGCACTTAGAGCAAGGAGGTTCAGTAACAGGAATAGCCAAGTTTTCCTGTTCTGGCTCACCGTAAGCACTTGAAAAAAATCACTATCATTAAAAAGGCTTTGAACATTTCAGTCTGTTAGCTGCTTCTTAAGTGATCTTCTCCTTGAATAAGCTCCTAAAATGCTGCCCCCCCCCTCCAAAGTACTTAAAGGGAGAGACTGACAATTCTTCTGTACCATCTGTCTGGCTTCCGTCTTGATGCTTCCTGAAGCACACTTCCAAATATTTTTCAGAAGTGGCCAGGAAGTAGGTTAGTAGCTAGAGAGATTGTTTTGGTTGTCCTCAATCCCTTGTTCTGTCAAATGCTGAGAAATCTGCCCTCCATGTGACCAAAAAGCAAAAATCTCTCCTTACATAGCGAGGTTACAGCTATGGTTGTAACCACATGACAAGGCTGGGATCCGTGAGTGTGTGTCTATAAGAAGCTGTGTGACCTTCTTCAGCTTCCCCCTGCCTTCCCCCACTCCATCTGAACTGCTACCAGGTGAAGTAAACACTGCCTCTTACTCACTACAAAAGCATTTTCAGAAGACAAGATGAAGAATGATTTCAGCTGGCACTGAAGACAGCTGTTGCGATGTAAGTTTTATTCTGACAGAGAGGCACAAGGGTGAGAGCACAGTGCTACAATCTGTGTAAAAGTTGGTTTTTTTCTTCTTCTTTGGCTGTACTCAAGATCTCCATCAAAATTAGCAGTCAGTTTAAAGGCTTCACCTTATGCTCAGTCCTTTTAGGTTTTTTTCTAAGCTGAAAAGAACACATTTGAGGTCTTTTAGATAAGTTTTTTTTGACCTTTTGTTAATTTACATGTAGGTGCAACACTGGATTCAGGAAGCAGAATCAAAGTCTGAAAGTTACCATATTGGCTATTTTGCAACTGTCCATCAAACTGTGACAGAGGAATTGTCCAGCCGTGGCACGGGAGCCGAACAGCTCTTTGCACAATCCTGAAGCATGTGGGAACGGAACATGCTTTTGTAAGTGCTGCAAGATGCTCTTCTGAGAAATATTTTTATGTGAAGCAATTTACGTGGATCCATCATCCACAAGTGAGCAGACTAATCGCTCTTTGTCCAACAGCCATGTCAACTTAACTACACAGAAAGATGAATATGTAGAATTTCCCTTTTCCTTTATTCTTCAGTTGATTTTTTTTCACTTGAATTTAAAAATCCTCTAAATGAAATTAGATGACAGATACACAACCGGTTGGTAACAGTAATAAAATGCTGTATTTGGACTGAATACTTACTGCAGTTGTATGAGTCGGGGAACTTGAGCTTGTTGGCCAGGAGGGTACAGAATCTGTAGCTGAAGGATCCCAGATGGATGATGGAACATTATTGAATTCACTCCAGTTTCTCTGAACATCCTGCCCATAAGCAGATCGAGCTAAACCAAATTTGCTAAAAACCTCTAAAAATAAAATGAAATAAAACTGAGTACATTACTCTTCCTCTTTTTCCAAGAACCACAGCAGACTAATGCTCTTCACAGTTATTTCCCATATTTTTCTAGCAGGTCCTGCTGCAGTGCAAGAACTGAGATTAGAAGAGGTCACACAGTAATACAGATCTCATCTCACATGCCCCACATCAGACAGTGGCTACGAAGTTAGAATCATGGTTATAGTGGGGAAAGAGAGTTACTGTGTATATATACACAGCTTACTGTGTATAATTCAGTGTCAGCCTATGGGATTTGTGGTTCCTGGTATAATTTACCCGAAAGCAGTCCGGGAACCAGGCAGAAGCACAGCAACACTGAGGGTCCTGGCAGTTCCTCATAACAAGTTAACTGCTGGTGGAGTAACGTACTGGGCTGAAGGAGCCTCTCAAAATCACAGCACTCCTTTGCCTTGCAGCGCTCCCCAGGTAACTCCTGGTTCGGGAGGTGGCACTGGCTGTGCCCCAGCCCAGACCCCATCTCTGCTGTAGGGAGGAGAGGGCAGCACCAGCACTAGTGGTTCGCCTGGTCCCCGCACACAGCACTGATCCCACGCATCCTACTGCCATCCCTCAGAGTCACTGGTGCCAGGTGCCACCGATTAAGATAAAGAACCCCTCAGCAGCAGCTGCTATTGATAGCAGACCCCCAGCATTTTTCAGTAGACATACAGTTTTTTTCAGTAGACAGCATTTTTTCAGTAGACGTACAATCCATTTTGCAAGTGCCACATAGAAAGTTTGCTTTGCTTATCATCTTTTGCAGACACCTTAAAAAATACCATGCATCCCTAACCATGGTATGCAAATCTACCCAAGTACACAGAGCATCCGTGCCCTACAATATAGCCTGCCTGCATCAAGGCCCGTCTCAATAGTCACTTATGGAAAGTTTACCTAAGTATTTAAATACAGGAATTAATTGCTGGGTTTAGTATGCATCAGTTTGTCATGCAACTATACAAACACTAGAGAAAAACCAAAGAGGAAAAAACAAATATAAAGAAATTTTACTGAAACTGAGAAACTTCAAAGCCAATTATTTCCAGCCCAACAAACATTCTAAGAGTTTCCACTAACTCTCTCTGGGCTGAAATACAGAACACACCACCAGTTTTTTAACATGCTTTCCTACGCAGTCATCCTTTTGGGGTGCAAGGATGGGAACACTCTACTTAGACCAGTGGAATAGAGACACACCATTTCTTTACCTGTATTTGAATATGGCAAAATATTTGAAAACAAAAAAAAAACCCTCACCTCCAGTTAAGTTAAAAGAATGTCCAAATGCAGAGAATGAGTTGAGAGGTGTGAAGTCGGGACTGCTGGGATTGCTGATAGGACTCCACAAACCCGAACTAAATATTATGGAGTAATGAGAAAGCAATACACAACTCATTAACACAGTACTACCAACAATATTAACTTACTGATCTGTATACAAATGTGTATTAACTATATATATTTTTTTTAATGGTGATCAAGAGTTAGGAAATCAGCTTTTTTTTTTTTTTAACGAAAGATTTTGGTGAAATACCATTTTCCTGTGCATATACCTTTGGAGCAACACACTGCTATAGACATAATGCTCTTTCATCTGTAGACTGAGCTCCAACACAAACCTGAGAGTAGCTTTTTTGATCAGTTTTTCAGAAAACTTACAGGGTCCAAGCCATAGCACAGTTTTTTGACAAGCAGATAAAATTTAGAGCCACTCAGAAAGGATACAAATGCTCACACTCTAGCTTGTGGGCAAGCTTCTTCAAAATACAGATGAGTTAACTGGAACCAACAATAAACACTTACAAAAAACAAACCAGAACCCCACCCACAAACTTTGCTCAGAAGAGCAATTCCCTTGCATATTGAAACTTGAATTCAAGTCTCCTATTCCAGAAAGGTTACCAGACGCTCGCTGCTTTTTACAACTGAGACAGATGTGCACTGCCAAAATACGTCAGAAAAGACAGCGTGCCTTGGAGAGCATGACTGAGCACAGCTGTATTCTGCTCCTACTCATAACACAAAGCCCAGTGATAGTTCTGGTCTGGGTGTTAAAACTAGGAGTGAAAGATATTGCTGTACAGCAAGATACTCTGCCTGTAAACTATTTCAAGCGACCTTGGTACGCACTCCTCAATACTGAAAGAGCCAAGCTGATTTCTCATTGTTTGGATGCCCAGAGAACACAAGATTGTTGAGTTACTTGCAATGAGGGGGGAAGTCCCCATCACATCCAGAACATCCTTCTCTCTACTTTTGAGTCACTCATAACTTCTACATTTATTTTTTTTTTGCAAGGTGATTCTGTGCCCAGGCTTCAAACAACAGTTAAAAAAAAAAAAAAAAAGGAACAAGAATGAATTCTGTCACTACCTTCAAAATGCCATTAACAGCTTACAATCTTCTTTTCTAGGGGCCTAGGTATTTGCCTAGAGAATATAAAAAATTACCTGTCAGAGCCATCACTGTCAACAACTGTGTGGGAAATGCCGATATTGCTGGAAACATCCGTCTTGCTTGGAGAAACTTTTGGTAAACCACTGCCACCTGCAAGAACAGATATACAGAATGAGTGAAATAAATAAAAAAACCCCCACAAACCAAAATAAGGGAATATTCAGGAAATATTCAGAACTCCAAACTGGTTCTAGTACCTGGGCTCTTGTCATAACCTGCAGCTACAGCAGCAAAAGTGGGGTTGCCATTCCTGCCTGGAAGAGAAGCTGCCTTTGCCAGCTTATGTTTGGTACCGTTAGGCTGTTTGCTTTTCGTTTCACTTAAAGGAGAAAAAAACAAAACAAAACAAAACAAAAACAAAGAAAAAAAAAGAGTAAGGTTTTGGACTTCAGCAGTTTGATTAAAAAAAAAAAGCAGTAATTTAAGCTAGCATTCATGAAAATGTTAACAACAGCTCAACAGTTCATGTAATTGCACATTTTTCCAACCTACCAAGTTGTAAGAAACCCCAGAAAAATATAAATAGCACAGTAAGATATGCACAGTAATATCTGCTGAACAGCAGTTTCCATGGGAAGAGGCAATGGGTCTGAGAAAAGGAAGAGGCATGGTATGAAGCATGCTGCTTCTGCAAGTGTCCCGTGCTTGGGAAATGGGGAGGAGGTCCAGGTTTGGACTCACGTGCTGCAGCTGCTGTTGACGATGCTGCTGTAAGTGCCTCCTCGCGGCCCAAAGGCAAACGTGGCGGGCGGAGGAGGAGGAGATGGAGAGGCGGGTGTCGGTGAGGGCTGTCGCTGTTTCAGGAAAGCATCTGCGTTCAGGGTTTGCAAGGAGAGTTTATAAAGGTTGTCTGTAGCTATGAAGAGAAACACAAAACATCTTCTTGTAGTATTTACGTTATGTGGGTTTCTCAAACTTCTGCTATCCTTTCCGTTCAAACTGAGGAATTATGACAAAGGCTGTTCACAGTGATTGAAGTAGCTCCTTCGCTATATTCACCTATCGTTATTCAGGTTTACTACCTATTTTCAGAGAGATTTGTATTGCAATAAAAGCACCAACATAAACTGATTTGTACAGAAGAAAGAACCTTTCTAAGTGAGCGCTGTGGAGAGGGATGACTTTATGTTCACATGCAACCAAAGAGGAAGGTGATTCGGTTCCCACACAAAGGACTTGCAACACAACCAAAAATCTTGTAATCGTGTCCCACCTAACCACTGCATTAGGGCGTTCTCAGTGTTCCCTCTCAAGGACAAATCATTTAATTAGTTTCAACTTTGGCTGCAGCAGACTTGACCAAGCAAAACCCCATGTGCTGTACAAAATACATTTTGTTTTCAAGTGGCAATTCTCATTTCCTCAATTGCCCCACACAGCTTCTCAATCCTGTTCATCGCTGAAGAACTGCGGAATGGCCCATGTTCTGCCCACGCAGTTTTCAAACCTCCCAGATCGTATCAGATGCTATCAATACAAGGCCTACAGCAGAAAACTGGAGCACAACTATGCAGTGAAAAAAAGACAGGAAGATCTATAAACAGAGCAAGCCTACCTACAGAATTCATCACCTATTCATTGCAGAAGACTAATTCTGTCGTCCTTTAGCGGTTACTTACAGCTGCCAGTTTTGTGAAGAGGCACAGAGTCCCACTCCGGTGGTGGAGAATCCTTTTCCCCTTCTGAGCTGCTGGTGTTTCCTAGCTCCTGTCCAGAACCACTGGGGAGAAATTTTGCTAATACTGATGGCCTGCTCTCCATTAACTTACTGTTTGGACCTATTAAAACAAAAGAAGAAAAGCAAGTCTGTGGACAGTAAACCAAACAGCTTTCTTCTCACACCAGACTTAGAATTAAGCACTCGAGAAGGGTCACAAACAACTCAATCAAACTCCCAAGGTATTTATAAAAAAATAGCCTCACACTACCTCTCATTTTGGGGAGGTTTCTTGATTTAGACCCATTCGTCAAAAGGTGCTGCGTAGATATCTTGGATGGAAAGGTTTTGCGCTGCTTGTTTTCCAGTGGGGGAGTATAAGACAATTCCAAGGAACTAAATGAAAACAGAGATCCATTTATTTTTAAGCTCTCTGAAGTGCTGAAGAGGAGATTTTTTTAAATATATATATGGATGCCATACGATCTTACAAAAGACTGATCTCCTGTGGCTTTCTTATGTCAAACTTGTGCTCATCTTCAAAGCTACTCATAAGCAGAGTTTTGTATTTCACCTGTATGCAACTCCACCCTTCCTAGCCCTGGCTCATTTCTACCCACACTGCTCCACACATTTATTAGAGCTCACTAGGAGCAGCTTTCATCCTGGAGCTCCAGGATCACAAAACCTGCTTGATTATACAAGAGATGGCAACTGCTGTTTTTCTACTCTGCCCCGACACACTCTCATTAGATCCCAAGCTCCTGCTATGCTACTGCCCTGAGTGTACAGGATCATCCTTTAGTCGATGACTATTCAAACCCACCACTGAATTAATTTGGCTATATATTGTTCTTTTTCTCCAGCTCTTTGATTATGTCTCTCAAACTTTCTAGGGAGGAACTATTTTACCCATTTCCCGCAGAAGAATTCCAAACCAGCTGTCACTGTGGCCTTTGAATACTGTCACCAATAATGAACTTGTGATTCATATGATAAAGGAAAGTAGATAACGGTAAGAATAAATAAGGAGGAAGCTTTGCCAGGCAATGTTTTCAGAAATATTTTGAAGAAAATTAATTTATACTAACTACTAATCCCACTTAGTCTAGTATTAATTACAGCAACAGGGAAAACACAAGCCAATATACCATGCCTCAGGTTTGGTAAAGTTTACTTTTGTGGCAGTTGGATACTGATCTGATTTCAGAATTTCAGAATACTATTTCAGAATGAACTAGATATAGCAAGATTAAGGCTCTTCATTTTTCCCCTTTCTATTATCTGCAATCAACCACCTGCCAGTAAGGGAAAGGGACTGGCAGCAGCAGCAGCCTCCTTTAACACACATCCAAGACTCTGATCTTACTCTGTAATACAAAAAAGGAAATTGCACGACTAATTTCACCAAGGGCAATTAAAGGCACTCATGTTAGCGCTGGCTTACTGTGCTGCCACTAGAAGCTCCAAATTTTGTGTATGTGATACCTGTTACAAAGTCCTTAACATTGCTTAACCTGATTTTTTTCCTCTGGATTTAGTTCTCTGTATTCCCATTTAGTTCTCTGTATTCCCATTAAATAATTTATTATTTACAAGCTTCAGATATTCCCTGGTATCAGGAAGGAAGAGGAAGCTGCTTAAAGGTATCTGCTATTGGCATTAGCCAGACTGGCAGCCACAACAGTCCAATACACCGATTTTTATCAGTCCGTCTTCTCTTCAAGCAGGATGCCTTCCCTACTAACAAGCCTTTGTTATGCTTACCTGGTTTTCACATCTACAGGGATTTCTTTCTTGATACTTGTTAGCAGTTTTTTAGTTTTCTGTTTTACTTGGACTATTTCATTTTCAGGTTTTTCTGGTATAACTTTTCCCTTTTGTTTTTCAGGTTCCTATAAAAAAGACATTATAACAACATGTTAACATTCATGAAAAGTAAAGTCCTTCTTGCATCACAACATACATTGTATAAATAGGGCTGAGGAAAGCATGCTATTTGAAAACATCAGCATTTTTGCAGGATAGAAGGCATCTTTTTACTACTTAGTGAGTATACTTATAAACCGTGGTATCTATTTTTTCCATTTTGGAGAAGCAGAAATCAAAATATCTAGCAAATTAATGTGCTTTAAGCAGATCTGATGTTTGCAAATACACAGCTTCTCAGGCCACAGCCTCTGGGTCTACTTAAAAAAAGATGCTAGCTCTGTACTGAGACCTATACTGCATCTGTTGTACGCAGTCCAGGCCATCTAAAACAGATGCTCCAACAAAACAAAGAATATGAGCAACTTCACTATTCAATTTTTTTTTTTTTTAACCACACTTCTAAGACTTTCTGAATACAAGTATACTGGCAAATAGCCATCCTGAAAAATCAACGGTGATTTTCAAATGAAAACTTAGTAAACCGTAACTTTAAAAATACATTACACGGATTTCTTTTCTTTTTTCCCCCAGCTAGAATCCCTATCTTTTCCAAAGTTCAAATTTAAGATATGTCAAAATTTAGGCTTGGTTTTCTTATCTTTGCGATTACCTTTGCTTTGTTTGGTTCCCTAGCACACGCTTTATGACAACCTGACCAGTACACAAATTGTTAGAGCTTTAGTTTGTTACATAGAAGCATGTAAGCCAAATGAGTAAAATAAAAGTAGAGGTATTGTCAAAGGTAATTAAGTTAACTACCTGCTGACAAGATACCACCAGTGAACTAACCCTTTGTAACCGATTAAATGCATGGTTTTAGCGTACACCTTAATTATTGAGTAAAATTAGTGTTCATACTTTGGCGTTTTATTCTGCAAACAGAATAGGCTAGGAGTGTGCAGAGAGACAATTACCACAATGCAGCTGACAACTGGTGGCTTATTCAAGCCACGGTCCTGAGACTACATGATTCAAGCACATTCACGTTCATAGAGGAGCAAATTTTATAGAGAAAAAGTGAAGGCAAGGACTGGGAAAGATGTTTTTTAATTAACATTCCTTCTTTTGTAGGTATTATATGAAAGCTGAGGGTGGAGTCGTGGCAGAAGACTGTATTCCTACTCTACCAGGTGAGCCACTGGCTACACAAGAGCCTCTCTTCGGGAGCAGTGCCGTACCTCTTTGAGAAGTGGTTCTGTATCTGGGTTGGAGGTTTCAGTTGTGGTTGAAGAACTGTCATCATCTGCCAAGGAATCCTTCAGTTCATCCTCCTGTTGCTTTCCTTTCCCTCTTCTGTCCTTTTCTTCCCGCTTCTTCTGTGGCTTTGCCTTGCGCTGAAGTGTTTTCCCTTTCCCTAGGAAGATAAGGATGCTTCAGATTCTCAGCAGCAGTACTCAGAGATGGGCTAGTTCACCTCATTTTGGAGGCTAACCCACACGATGAAGCCTCTGAAGTTTGTCATCTGATACGATGCCCCAACCATTTACAGCCACTTCACACCAAATGTGAGCAATAGCATCACACCTGAAGAACGCTGATCTCCACGTTCCATTTATGCTCCTGAGCCCTATCTCCATTGCCTCTCTGTAGATGGTGAGCACCTGGCTATCTATAATTCTTCTCTGCTCTGTTCCTGGCATTCCTTTTAAACACCTTAGAATCCAGTTTGACAGTTTAACCATGTAAGACTAGATTTAAACATGAACTTCAGAAGTTGGTACAAGCTTTAGCATCCGAACAAATGAAGAACAGAAATGATTAGCATGCTTGTCAGTTAAAAAAATAAACAAACAAAAAACCAACTTGCAGTAAGATTACAGTGGATGAGAGAAATCACTAATAGTATTTGTCTAGCAAAGATGTAAAAAACCCAAATCCCCAAAACCTGAAAATCTCACGTCCAAGTATACTTTCTCCCCTTGACATACTTTTTTTTTTTCAGAGTGGACTGTTCTAGAGGTATGACTAAGCTGACTGTAAAATAGTTTGGCTTGACACATTGAAGCGTTACTGCATCCCAAAGTAGGGAAAACAATGCTTTAAACACTCCAGGGGATGTTTAATCAATTCTTCTTGAAGCAATCCACATATAAATAAATAAATAATGCTACTTGAACAATTTATGATGGTTTTCCTGCAATTTCTACAGGCTAACTGAAATGTAGCATAGTATAAGTTCAAAATGTAGAGGTTTAAGAGGCTTCAAAACCAAAGCAAAGGTCCTGGCTTGCAAAATAGGCAGGATTAGGCTCCTGGGAAGTGAAAAAGTTATCAAAAAAAGCATCAATACAGAGAAACCATGTGTGCGCGTGCGTGGAGTCATCATCATCTTACCACTGCCTCCTGTTATTCCCTTACAGGATGAGAGCGTGCACAGTATTCCTGTGGCTTTCACTAGACGTAATATATGCCTGTACCAATAAGATCTTTATTAGATATCGCCCTTCAAACTAAGCATTCCCATTTATAAGCTGCACAGTGCCTGCATACAGCTTCGGGGATGGACTGAATAGTTCACTGACGCAAAGCCTCAGTTAACCTGTGCTGAGTAAGTGGATTCAGCCTCTTCTGGGATTTGTACCAGCTCAGGTCGGAACTGAGTCTGGAAGCGCCGCGATAGCTGTCATATTTCATTTGGCAAAATGTCCCTCACGTAAAATTTGTACCAAAACATAAATTTGCCTTCAGTATGTTGGCAAATACCAAATATATATCAAAGGGCAGTGCCTTCACACTTTGTTTTTTCAGACTTAATGTTTTCAGTATTAAGAACAACAAAAATATTGGAGATAAAATGTCCTTTTTATTGTGACCGCAAATAAAAAGTGCAAATACAAGTAGATCTTTGTATGGCAGTTTTCTTAAGATCGACTTCCAGCTTATTGAGGGTATTCTGGTTTTGCCTCAGAAGGCCTCGTTCTAAGATTTGCTTCAAATTTAGTCTACGTTCAGGATTGCTAAACAGTTTAATGTTCTTCAGTAGAAAAATCTCTGTAAAATGTTATCATGACACAAAAATAAAACGTAAAGCAGCTGTTTAAGAAAGATCTAATGCAGCCTCCGCAGCAATCCACTAGGACTCAAGTATTTGGAAGCTGAAACAGAAGACTATAAGACAGGAATCCTGCCCAGGATATGATGACAACCAGTTTTAGTCCAGAAGCTGCTGCTTCTGCAAATGTTTGTGACTAGCTCTAGCTATTTATCTAAAGACAAATATCACTGTGTGTATGGATAGGTAATGGAACTTCCCTTATGGTTTTACATTTTTAGAGAGGGCAAATGGAAATGGGCAAGTTTTATTTGGTGCGCTGAGCTTTTGTGAGTCAAGTTATGGTTTACAGATAATGTTGGGTTTGGTTTTTTTTGATAAAGTTTGTCCAAAAAGAAGTCTACATGCATAAATCTGATTTATTGATCTAAGATGCTGAAAATGTCAAGAAAACTATCTGGACTGCAAAATGTAACATTCATAATATATTTTGCAATCCAGAATATGTTTAAATATTCAGTATACCACCATGTCAGAGCACAAATGACGCAAAGCCTCTGTAACAGGAGGAAAAGTGTGAATTTTATCTGAATGGATTTGTAATCAGGAGAAAGTTACAAAACAGGATAGTAATGCCAAAAAATGGAACCCATGTAAGTGACTTAAAAAATAAGTATTTTATCATTGTTTAAACAGCCTTTGAAATTGATACACAAAATCAATAGAAGCACCCATCTCAAGAAAATGCATTTAGATATAGTTGAAAACATGTAAACAAAGGTCTGTCAACACTTAGAAGCAGCTGTTTGCCAAAACAAACTCCCAATACATAGACTGCTAGAAATTGCTATAGGTACAAAAACGTTAACATCGGTACACCGCATTATTTGGATCAGGAATATGCTTTTGAACCCAAACTCAGTGGTCCCTGCATACTGTGTAGCAGCTGCATCGTACAGCAGTACGCGAGTGCAAGAGGTGGTTTCTTTTTAGGTTGAGCTACAAACAGAAGATGCACTCCAGAAGCGCTCCCAGCCCTTTCGGGCATTCTGTACCTGGACTGGATCAGTCCTCCCTAAATCCACTCAGACATATCCCATGAAGGAGTTGCATCCTCACTACCAGCCATTTTGCTTTCCAGAGCTCCAAGACCGCACTATTTGCTAACAAGAGATGCTGCCTATGAAACCTACCTACAGTTATGTCATTTGCTGGGGTACCGTATAGCCTTTATGAAATGAATACCTGACAAACTGGTCATAATTCTCTTAATTCCTCCAACCACATCCCCTTGTCTAAACTAAAACCGAAACAGCCCAGAAATCAAGCAGCAT